TGGCCCGGAAACATCCCGTCTAAAACATACTCTTGTTTTTTAACTTAATACCCAGTACCATCGTCCATCTTTCGGCAGTTCAAAGGACTCAAGAAAAGGACTTATGCAGTGGTAGCGGGTAGCAGCGTAACTCCGGTACCCATGATCCCAGAGACTCCGCTAAATAATCGGAGAACGAAGAAGGCTGCAAAATCTAGGTTCAATTCGAACTCTTCTGAACCGCAAGTATAACATGTAATCGATAAAGTGAAGCAATTGGAGAATATGATCAGGGCAAGGCTTTAACTGTAAAATCTGCATCTAGATGAAGAAAAACGATTTCCAGAGAGGGAACGATGTCTGCTCATCGTAAACCCCCCTGAGTCTATTAAGGAATCCACCGCTTAAAGGATATTGGAGGACCAAACTTTTCTGAAGCGGATGGTTTCGTTAAAGTTCGATGCTAAGGAAAAGGGCTTAAACTTGGTTTGCGCTTTTCGCCTATGCAGGAAGCAAGATGACTCCTCGTATGTTCGCCCCCTTAAAGTGGCCTGTCACGATTAAGAGGAATGCCGCGGTATCCTCCAGCGATCCCCATGTTTGAATGGAGAAACGTTCCAGGTTTTGAGGGACCTCCCCCGGAAGATTGAGTTGAAATTAACCAGGCCATTGATGAACTACGATTCCGACAAGCAGCTGGTCAAAGCGACCTCCACATTGTGGATTTTCGAGTAGTAACACTAATCCCGAGGACTCGGTGGAGACCAATTTTCGTTCTCACGGTGCACTGAGGATCAGGAGTGGATTGCGTGTGATATCGGCGAACGTGCGTAGTTTGAGAAACAAATTGGAGGAGATACTGCCCATGACCTCGGAGCAAGAACCCGATCTGATGGCTTTTACGGAGATTCGGCTAACCTCGGATATTTCGGAATCGGAGACATCTATTCCGGGGTATCAACTATCCCGTGCGCATCGTCTAGGAGGGAAATCCGGGGACGGTGTTGCACTTTACTAGAAGTCAGAACTTAAAGTTCACACAGTGGTAGCTATGTGTAAGCTTGATGGAGGATCGGAAGTTCTTTGGAGAAGAGTCCACGATGGTTTTAGACCGCTCATAGTCGGCCTTATCTACAGCTGCCCGTTGGGGTCAGGATCCCGCCTGATAGGCTCTATGGGGATACACGGGGAGGCAAATTTTGTTTGATTGTGGGTGACTTCAATGCTCCGGCCGTAGACTGGGATGCGCTTCACTGTAATTTAGCTCCAGATACATTTGATACACGTTTATTAGAAATAGTCCTCGAATGTAATCAAAAGTAACACGTTTTATCCCCTACCGGATTATTTTCCAGGCCATGTGTCACATGTCCTTGACCCTGTGCTCACACTCAGCTGATTCGATATTTCCGCTCTAGACATTCTTCAGCCTCTTGGCGAAATTGATCAACGTGTTGTCTCCTTTATGTGGACACGACCGTTAGCTATCAATATCCAAGGAGCGTACCGCTGAGAATCCTGGCGAGCTAACCCCACCGCTTAAAATTGGCTGTTAGCCTCATGGACTGGAACAGCCTTCATCAGTTGGAGCTCGATGCTGCTTAGAAGCTTTAGTGCTCCAAGCTGATTTTATCATTGATCGGGTTGTTACAAGGGTCACACAACAAGTTTTTCCAAAGGGCTCCAATGGATAGATCGGGGAATCAAATCGCTCATGCTGAGAAGGCGGAAACTTTGGGGCGGGTTCAAGTTCACTCAGACGGCATAAGAGCATGCGCATTACAAAGGGGCTACAAAAGTATGCACCCTGAGAAAGCGCGAGAAGCGAGAATTATTTGAGCAGCGTCTGGCGGAGCAATCTGTGATTAATTCGAAAATGTTTTTCGCATACTTAAGGAGAGGCACCAAAGCTGGCAACTGTATACCCGCACTGTATTCAAGCAAAGAGGACACCGTGCTTCATGATGACATGGTGAACGCTTGTTTACCAGCTTCGCAATATTCATAGGTGTATACGACGGCGGCGCCATTAGTTGTTAAGGATACTCCCTGTCACCACTCTCCAATAGTTCGTGTTGAAATTATCACTGACAGAGTATTGGAACTGCTGCTTGACTTGAACAAAAATTCTTCACCGGGTTCCAATGGCTTACCTTCCTTGTTCTTCAAAGAGGTGGCAGAGTTCATTGCTACACCAATTTATTAAGTATTTTGTAGCTCACTTGAAGCAGGTGGTCTCCCAGCTAAATGGAAAGCAAAGGTTGTGAAACCCATATACAAAGTTGGGAATCGCCAAAATCTAGTGAACTACCGCATGGTTTGCCTTTCATCAATCCTCTTTAATACCACGGAAAGGCTTTTAAAACAGGCCTAGTAGCTTCACCTTGAGAACTTGTATGTCATCTCTCCTGCTCAGCACGGATTTCGGAGGGCATGCTCTTGCATTACCGATCTGCTTGTTGCCCGAGAAAAATAGGCACAGTCAGTGGATGCTGGTCATCGCATTGATGTATGTATTGTGGATTTTGGCAAGGCTTTTGATAGGATTCCACAGAAGCGTCTTCTTAGCAAAAATCGCCAGAGTCGCATCGCAGGTAAATTGCTTGCCTGGATCGCGGATTTCCTGATGACCGTAGTATGAAGTTGAGGGGTAACGAACTTGACTCTGGTCCTGTTCTTACGACCAGTGGGGTTCCACAAGGCACCGTACTTGGACCCGAACTATTCGAAAGCTTTAGCAACGATGTTCTGGAGGTGCTCCAAATCGACCGCTTGATCTATGCTGATGAGCTTAAACTTTGGTCTGAAGTATCTGGGCTTGCAGATGTTGACAGGATGCAGCTGACTCTCGACCTGTTGCACGGTTGATCGGTCAAGTGGCAAATGCCTATCAATCGTGATACGTGCAGTGTTCTCCCGATCGGTGACCAGGAAACTTTCGGTGCTTACCACATTGGTGGTTTTCTGCTGAAGAATGTGGTTGGTGAGAAGGATCTGAGTGCACTTATTTCTCCAGACCTAAGAACAACCTAGGACACGATGCGCAACATAGCGACTGCCACCAGGATGCTCTGTTCATTACGTAGGTCGTTCTACAAAGTGACTCAGCAGAACTTCAGACTCCTGTTTTCTTCCCACGTTCGTCCAATACTGGAATACGGCCTACATGCCATACACCCACTCACGAAATTTGAAAATGAGGTGCTTGAGAAGGTTCAGATATGAGGAAACAGGTCTGCGTCTACCCTATGTGTTGTACCTTATCCCCATCGTCTGCAATGTATGAACTTATGTACTCTGGACTACGGCTGTCGCCGTGGTGATCTGAATTATATTAGACGCATTGGAATGGGCGAGTTGGGGAAGGAGGTGCTGCAGTTCTTCTAGCTCAACACAGGTTGTTAAACACAGGGCCACAGCTTGAAACATTTTAAACCTCCGCGGAACCACTTACGGTCCGATATCGCGTCACTCATAAGGGTTGTGAACGATTGGAACAACCTTCCTTAATGTGTGGTAAGTGCCCAGACAGAGGGAAGTTTTAAAGAACAATTGGACAAGTACATGCTGGGCATGCCTGGATTTCGCTGCTTTTGCTGCAGCTGCAACAATCCCTCGGGGAACACAGTTTAGCATCGATAGGTCATCCAGCGAACGAACGGGAGAGGATAAAGCTGACACGGGTCTTCCCTTCTGCTCTTTACATCAATGAAGTTTAAGAACTATTAACTATAGCATTAAACAACTAGCCATTATATACTTACCTTGTTATTCGTTTTACATGAAGAACCATAGATACACTTAACCTATCTCCATGTGTCTAGATTTAAACTGGCGTGTTAGTTGCAGGGAGCGTCCTATCCACTTCAGGCGCGATTTTGAATGCATGCTGTTTTTCATTAAGAAAACCGGTTACTGCCTACTCAAAAAGTAAGGGTTTTATTGGGTAAGTTCTAGCGCAACGTGTTTGTAAAGTAGTCAGTACCTACGAACATCCATAAACTGATACGTATCATTCCCAATATGCGAATAAAAGTGGAAAAGTTGAAATATAACGGTGTGAGTTGTTAAAAAGAAAGCAAAATGTAGAACACGCTTTAAGGAGGTCCGCGGTATGTATTTCAGCAAGCATCCTACATTTCTAATAAACAGTACTATGGGTTCAATGGCTTAAAATTTATCTCATACTACCTGCATCTGCGTGTACCGGAATCACACTGCCGCTAGAACATTATTTCCAAGTGCGGATAGGACGCTCCGCTTCTCTTATATCGCGTGAGATGGTCGATTCCGAGATACTGGATGAGTTGGGTGGTCCTCAAATTTTCAATCATTTCACTAAAGAGAAGCCTGTGACTTCAAATCAACGGTATGGTTTCTTCTATAAGGATGACAAAAGCATTCAACCGGCGGTAGTCTGCATTCCTACGCTTACCTCTGATATACCCACCGAAACGGTGAAGCAACGTGGCCAAACAAATCCACTTTTTGTGCCGAAACAAAACTTTTATGTCGCGCCTGAGCTTAAATGCTACAGAAGAGTTTGTGGAATTGCATCGGGTACGTCAGATGTACCGGATAATCGGTTGACAAAGGTTAAGGGCTACCAGCTTTGGCACTCACATACCGGATCATTAGTTAATGTGAAAAGGCCAGTTTGAGTGGGAACAATCTCCACATCTAATATAAAGTTACCCGAGATTTTTACTGCCACCTGCTTAACTGCTATAACCATTTAACAAGATGTACTGGACCTGGTCCCAATTTTCCGTTTGTCCTAATTTCTCCTCACTTTTGAAGAATTTTGACCATTCGGTTATTTCCGAGAGTGCATACGCATAATTGCACGCGTCTTTCTCACTATATTCCGAGGCCATCCACTGATAAAATTGCTTTATATATTACACAAGTGCGTCATGCTAATACGCGGAGCATGCAAACCAAAGAAACTAGTGCGTTTAATTTGTCTAAGTTATTTCTAGCATCTGTATATTAATAAAGAAGATCAACAACAGGCGAAGTTAACTTCAAGTGGACCTGAAACGATAGGTTTCGTGTATAGTTATCTGCGTCGTAGTTAGTGATTATGACGCAAGGTTGTGAAAGTCAGAAGGAAGCTGTCCCGCCGGTGCCACTTTACGTTTGCACGATAGTCAGCTGTTTTTGACGGTGTTGTCTAACCAAGGTGTAGGCGTCCTGAACTCATGTTTGCTTAACGGTTTTAAAGTTTTCAGGTAAGGAAATTTTTGCTAATACTAAACCTGAGGTCTTTCTCTTATTGTACAAAATGGTGGTTCGGCCTCACTTAGAGTATTGCATTCATGATTGGGCACCTTACTTTCGAAAACATATCGCTTGGTTTGACTAGCCACATGAATGATTGAAGGCCAGCGTGAGAAGTCGTATGTTAACCGCCTGGATTGCTTTGGCTTGTTCTCATTGGAACGACGCAAACTAAGGGGAGACCTGATAGCAACGGTTAAGATTATAAAGGGTCTCACTAGCATTTATCCTACCGATCTCTTTGAACTAGCTCCGTTGGACCACCTGCGGACACACTATCTGAAGGTCAAGACGCTTAGATCCAGACTTGATATCCGTGCGAAATTTTTCACTAACCGCTTAGTACGTAGTTGAAGTTTATTTCCTGCACTAGTGGAATGTAATCCTGTGGAAGCCTTTAAAAGAGGCCCAGACATGAATTCGTCCGCTCTTTTACCGGAGTTACACTGAGACGTCACTTACTATTTTGTCTCCGCAGAAATGAAGCTTAGGCGTCGAAGTGCCTGGGGCTTTTGCTTGCTTACCGGCACACGAAACTAGACGCTCGTTAGGCAAATGTCTGCATCGTCCCTGAAGATCTGACCCGACCTAAATCGCAGCCGCGGATAGCGACTTGCCCTGGGTGTTACATTCATTTTTGACATTTTGCCTGGGCTTTCACTAGCTGAATACTTACTTTATCAAGTATAAAGCACGGTGGCGCCCAAATGCTTGGTTTGTGGTAAGAGCGTTACTTCAATATCAAAGGCTGTGCAGTGATCTCTGCTATGGTTGGCGACAATGCCTTTTGCGGCATTAGTCCAGATCTTTATGTCTCCAATGGACCTACTTCTCGGCCATCTGTTTCCTTTGTGACCCCCGTCGATCTGTACTGAACCACAGCCGTGTCTTTGACGTTCTGTCCTCAGCCTAAGACCCATACGTAGTCAGATTAAGATCTGCAACGCTGCCGAACCTCTGATATCTTCACTGCCGCTTTCAGCCTCTGACTCAACCACTCCCTCTGGTAAAAGTAGTCGTGTTCCATCGTCACTATCGAAGCCACTAACACATGATGATGGCAACTATGAGTTTAGGGGCAAGATTTATGCAGCATTAGTGAGTGTGAGTGAGTACGTGAAATCAAGCATCTACCAGCAGAAGTACTGATCTGCGTGAGACGTAAGCCAAGAGTGATGCTACGCCGAAATCCAAGAAATCTGCTCCTTTCGAACTGAAGGTAATGCTCGACATAGTAAGCCTGTGGTAAAACGCCCTTATGAACAATATGCCTCCCAAGTTTCCATCTCATGAGTGCCCCAACCTAACTTTCTTGATTGTTGTTTACTCATTATGAACACTCCTGGATAAAGCAAAGCTTCTCCGGCTGAAAGGATCCTAAAGTACCAGGAGTTTATGAGGGAAATGGTCTCCATCCTGGTGCCATCCGACTCCAGCAATGATTCGCAGACAACGATGATCAAAGACTTGAAGGCGCTTTAGATCTTCAGACCGAAGGGGTCAAGTCTCACTATCATAGAGCAGAACGGCCCTCACTGTGGCCTTGTAAACACGGCCTTCAGACGGAGGGAAATTCCCTTCTGTCGCCAACGATGCCTCCGGTTCAAGAAGACAGTTCTGGCCTCTGCAATGCGTTTACTGATGTCAGTTTCTATGCGCCCATCATTGCTGATGCAGCTGCCAAGATAAGTGAAATGATCAACCACCTCGAGTTCCTCGTTAGCAAGCATCAAGAGGTCAACAAGTGGCCAGAACTCCTGCAGCAACACTGCACTTTGAAGGTGCGAAGTGCATACCGAATAATGGGACCACTCTGGACAGGCTATTCAAGGTCGATTGTGCCGCCACAACATCGAACGCATAATCTAGATCAACTAACCTTTCACCAGGCAGCACTTCAACGCCTACATCGTGAGATTCCGCAAGGGAACACTTCATGATAGAATCCACGACGAGATTGAACAAAAACGGGGAAATCGGACAACCTTGACGAACGCCACTTGTGGTCGGAAAGCTATCCGATAGGACACGGTAGACCCTGGCGCGGCCTGTAATGTTTGAGTGTAAAACATGAAGGATGTTCACACATTTCGTGGGAACCCCTTTCCGCGCAAGTATTCCGAACAGAATCGATCGATCGACTGAATCGAACGCACTCTTGTAATCGAGAAAAACAGAAGTTGTCGGTCTGTGGTATGCATGGCGCTGTTCTAACACCTGCCGCAAAGTGAATAAATGGTCTATACAGCCACGTCCTGGACGGAAACCAGCCTTCTCTTCCCTAGTCCAAGATTCCCGTTACGCAGTGAGGAGACGAACGAGAATCGAGTCCAATAGTTTTGTCACAACTGGCGTTAGGCTAACACCCCTGTGGTCTGTGCGACTGCCCTTCTTGTATATTGCCACTATAATCGATTCGCTCCAATTAGCCGGGACGCTCTCTTCTTTCCAGATACATTCGTATAATGAGGTCAGTTCTTTGCAGAGGACCTCACCTCCATCCTTAAATAGTGCAGGTGAGAGGGAATCCGGACCGGCGGCACGAAAACGATTGAGGGCTGTGATCGCGTTTCGAACCTCGGCCTCCGATGGAGGCTCTAAACTAACCGTCCATGGCTCGTCCTGCATCACCTGATTAGGAGGAGTTCCGGGAGGAGGGGGCCAGCTGAACTGATCTTGAAAGTGTTCTACCCAACCAGCCATACGGCGCTCCTTATTGTGTATCACTGCACCCGCGCTGTCTCCGATAGTCTTACTGGCACCTGGTTTTCTGGAACCAGTGGTGCGGATTAGCTGGAAGAGCTTCCGGTAATTGCCTACTGCTTCCTGCCTCCTCCATTTCTTGAGCCCGACTAGTTCACCAAGCTTCCTTATAAATAAATAAATAAATAAGCAAACGTTTATTCTCGACAATACGAGACACACCAGTACAGGCATGATCATGTTTAGCTAACATAGTGTGATCTAAATGTACAGAGTACATGTTTGGCATAACAGTGAATGTAAATGTATGGGTGTATATATGTACGTAATTGTCTATGGTGTGCCTATGGTGTGCTGAGGCTGGTGGTGGCTAGATCCTGACAGATGGTCTACCCACTGCTGCTAATGTTGCGCCATAGTCTCATGTCCTGGGCGCCTCCACGTGGCGACCGCTGGGTGGGAGTTAGGTTTCGCCCTTCTCCCTGCTAAGATCCAGGACACCAATCCGCATGATTCAGCTAACTGACCATGTGCTAGACCCGCTGCCTTTCGGGTGTTCATTTAATCGAAGGCTTTGGCTGAGGACCCGAGTCGTTCTCCTGTCAGGTGTGGGCGCCCTGGCAGTATCCTAGTCCATCCTCTCTAGGAGGTTAGGAAGTGGTCGAAGGCCCACTTCCCGTAAAACCTAGCCATGGAGACAACAGGTTACGGGTGATATTCTCAATGCTCG